TAGTGTATTTAGCAATGATGTATGTAGCACTTTTTCTAGGATGAGTTGGCGAACATAATTATCAGACCTCATATCTTATCACACTATGACTGGGAAAGGAAGAAAGGCAAAAAAGATAATGTTTTGCAGAGAGGTCCTTCTTTCTGAAATGATCTACAAGGTCACCTTTTCCCACACAGGAAATGTAATTATCTTCAACACCATCATTGAGAACATACAGAAGCAACGTTTAAAAATAAGAAAGAGTAAAGATTTTATATTTAGTGAGCGAGTCTACAGATGCAACATCTGGGCCAGACATTACGTATAGCACTATAAATCCACAAATACAGTTGAACATTTTCACTATGACGTGGAAGAAAGACTATCTTGTACCCGTAGCTTATAGCTTTTACTTCCACACATACTTAACCCCTCAGCGTTAGTTCCAGAGAGTCATCTCTGGTGACAGACATCTGCTTTCACCCTAGCACCTGTTCCATCTTAAACTTACTTCTTCCTGGTAAAAGGGAATATAAATTTCCTTAGAGGGAAAGGATGGGTATATAGGTCAGCACCAAACATTTAATGAAATAATCTTGAATATGTAAGTTGGGTTTTGTTTGTTTTTTTAAAACCAGATGGGCCCTTCTCATTTCATATTCTACCTTGTGTAAAAGGGGCTGTAAAACTGGGGTCAATGCTTCCCAGATGCCTTTGGTGCCAAGGTTCTGGACGCAATTTATACCTTGTCAGCGATATGTACCAGAATAACATTTGGTAGGAGACAAAGAGTTATAACTCATAATCCTATAACTAAACTTCTCTCGTTGCCTTTGATTTTGGATAGTTTCATTATCATGTGTCTTGGAGAAAGTTGTTTTGCAGGGAGATTATGGGGTGATCCATTATCTTTGTGAACTTGGATGTAAAGTTATCTGCCCAGGTTTGGGAAGTTCTTTGCTATTACTTCCTTAACAGACTTTTTGCACCCATTCTCCCTTTCTCTTTCTGGAACTCCAGTATTTCTAATATTTGTATGTTTTGTGATGTCCTATAAATCATGTAGGCTTTCTTTGCTCTTTTTATTATTTTTTCTTTATTTTCCTGTGACTGAGTTATTTCAAAGTTCCTGTCTTCTAGATCACAGATTCTATCTTCTGCTTGATCTAATTCTGCTGTAATAAATGTTCTCTGTTGCATTTTTCGTTTTGTTCATTAAGTTCTCCAGATCCAGAATTTCTGTCTGGATCTTTTTAATGATTTCTATCTCTTTATTAAATATCTCATTTGGTTCATAAATTGTTTTCCTGATTTCAT